TTAGGTAACGACTACGTACTAACCTAAACGAACTACGCACACACTAGTATATATATATATATATATATATATATATATATATATATATATATATATATATAGACTGTATACCCCAAGAACCCTACGATGTGTTTGCTCAAATTTGGACAAATCTTGTTCGGATATGCGTTGGAAAATCAAGTTAAACCTGTTCCAGTGCCTTGCTTTTGGCTTGGTGTCTCCAAAGATTGCTGCGATCGCTATTAAATCTATGTTTTCATTGTCAGCCTAAACATTCTCCAATAACAGAGTTGAAATAGCTATATTGCGCTTTTGAGCTATTTAAACATCCGATGAGCTGATTCGGATGTACTTTGGTTGGTTTGACTATATGCGCAAAATGATTTTTGAGTAGCACATACAGCAGCAATTGCTCGTCGACAACACTCAAACTCTGTACATAAGCACACAACTGCCTATTATATGATATTCAAAGCTACTATGCTAGTGGTGATGAACAGACATGCAACTGCCTACTACACGATATTGAAAGCTACTTGCTGGTGGTGTGTATACAAGGTTGGATCCGATACCAACAGAAGGAATCATCAGCCCAAAAGACGAAAGACATGCATCTGGAATAGAGTGCAGATACAGGTAGGATTTATAATAATCAGTGATCGCCTGGCAATTGCATACAAAACAGTTCATAATTATTACATGTCCGAAATATTTCGCAACGGAGGCAGCTCGAAGCTATACCTTCAACAGTACTCGACAAAAGTATGCACCTGAAATCCTGAACTCACTATATCATATACTTGATTGAGCACAAACCTATGACAGATAATCATTACCTTAGATTTCGCGTCCAGTTCCATGAGTTCTTTCTCAAAGGTGCTCTCTTTCACGGCGTCCATTTTAGCTTGTTTGCTGTTTGGCTGCGCCTGAGAGCTCCCCTGCTTGCGCTTCGCCCCAGCTTCAACATCATCGCTACCAGCCATAGTCTTGTATTAGTACCGCTATAATACGCACCAATAGTTTGGTAGTATATAAGTATATGTATATGCGAAGTTGAACTGTATTAGAATGCGTGCATGTAACAGGTATCTCAGCCTACTAAGCTATACAGAAGTATTTATTTACATGACACAGCTGTATAAAATAAAATAAAAGTTCGAGATCAACCCACTTGTACTCTGTATTGAAAATTTGCATGACGGGGCCAGAGTGGCGGGACATCCTCTCCAATAGAAACCAGCCACATCTCTAACGGTAGGTGCCGAACTATTGCAGAATCATTCAATCTGTGGGGTCTATAACGCCGGCCGACAGTATTGTATTTTGAACTGCAGCAAAGTAACACGAGAGTGATTGCATACGGGAGTGTAAGCTTAATCGTACAAGCTTACAACAGAGTGTGGGCTAGAATCTGGATGAAGATAAATAGCTTATAATTTACAATAGATAGTAGTGTCCGAGTTCGGTTGCATTGTTGTATGTTCGCCTATGTATGGCTTCGCAGTGTATCATGTGACAGGTCTGTATCGATCAGTTCGGACGAGCTACTAAGCGCGCGCAACGTCACCTGTATGCTTTATGCGTCCATGTGTTGACCTTGTATATATATCCTCACAGACACGAACGTCAGGCTTATATAGACATTCGGGCGCCCAGTAGGTCTGCTATTCACCTGGGTGTAGGTCTGAAAAGCAGTCAATCGTGGATACAAAGTTAAGGCATATACAAGCGCACGAACGCTCACTTTTGCCCACAGGCACCACACCATACATATCTGCCTCGCAAGTAGATGCATGAAGTATAGTTCAGTAAACTGTATACAGTCGATTACTCTTGTGCTTCAGACTTGTGTTTGAAGTACAATGGCGCCTGACAATAGCACAGCCGTCAGTCGGCCACGCGCGGGCAGCCATGGGTCTATATCACTGCCGAAATCCAAGACACATGAGCCCCACGCGAAAGAAGAAGGGACGGCGCAGCAGACACGCGGGCTATCCATAGGCAGTGAGATACGTGTGAGCTATGCTGAGGACCAGAACTCCTACGCTGATGCAAGTGGGTGGTCCTTGCGTGAACAGCTCACACTCACACAGGCAGCGTATCGGTGTGGTGTTGACGATATGGCGACTGTGAGCAGGTTAATGCGCAAGCTGCGTACGTCAGATCGACCGTCGCACTTCTTCTCTGTTAATAGCTGTACGTCGCAGATGAAGCATCTCGAGAAGATCGCGGCGATTGTGCCAGCTAAAGCCAGCACACACGTGGCCAGTGCGGCGAGTGCTGTGAATGGGTCTAAAGAAACAGGTGGATTAGAACGCTCGCTGTCTGTCGGTGGAACTGAGTCGAGTGCGATGGTATTGGAGCTTTCGAAAAGACTGTACCACGCGCGGATAGCGGAGATTAAGCTGACACTGGCGGCGGATCGAGAGGAGTACAAAGCTCTGGCTAATGATATAGACAAGATAAGGGAAGGCGTGCATGACCAGGAATTAGACACTATGATACAAGGCATGCACGCTGACGGGGTCTACCTGCCGCAACAACCCATAGCAAGCACAACATTAAAACTATCAACCAACGGCGTGCATAGAACTTGTGTGCTTGATCCTGCGCTGAGCCAGCCTTCAATAGAAAATCCGCTTGCGGAGGTCCACAGCTCACGACGGAATGTTTCCGAGTCATGTGATACCTTCGGGCACGGTCAGGGTAAAGGGAAGGGTAAAGGAAAGGGCGCGATGCTAAAGGCCCACGCAGCCCATGGAAATCACACAACACCTGGTGAGATTATTTTTGCGTTCATACAGCTAGCATGCGCGAGTATGTGCACATTCATAGGTGTATATAACAAGTTCTAATTCGTAGAAAATAGTGGTCGAGTGTGTGCTGAATTATTATTTATTGACTCAGTATAAACGTCCCAGTATCATCTTTCAAGATTATATGCACTGTATATATAGCATGCCTAGGTATACGGTATTCACATCATGTTCACTTGAAATGTGAAAATACATGGAGAAGTCTTGTTAGTATCCATTTGGGACCTTCCTGTATGAGTAAAAGAATAATATAGCGCAATGGACGAAATCACACGCATATATTAAAGTAAATCAATGGCGCTAATCATACACGTATATCTCGAAAGCCTCGTACATATTCCGAAGCGTGGCTTTGCGTTGCGTATGCTACGTAGCTTCTTTCGCGCGGTATTCGTCGTCTGTGTCGTTTTTCGCTTTGAAGGCGCATTTTTTTGCATTTGCGATCTTTCCCGCACCTTCCAGTCCAGTCCAGTCCAGTCCGTGCTTTATAATTAAATTTTGATCTACAATCGTATACTAGATGACCGTATGAGGTTCCGCTGTTTGGCTCACCTAACAAGTGTGTAATTCTTCTATGCTGTGTCAAGATCTTCATTCTCTCGTTCCTCACTTTCCTTGCGTTGTGCAGTGGAGCCGTCGATTACTGTCAAATTGGACCATCAGTATACTAAGCTCCAGAAGCCAAGCACGCCAGCGGCAACTACCGAACCATTCGAGGAAGATCCAGACACGCCGAAGGCTGTTAGTACCTTTTCCGGTAGGAAAGCATCCAAGGAAAGTGTTGGCACGGCCAAACATAGACACCATAGGGCAAACTCGAGGGGCCCCAAGGCCAAAACTCCGCCGGCACCTCCAATCACTGCACTTTCGCGTACCACTCGGTCGAAAGGTGAAGCCGCTTCAGTTACAGGTAACACTCTATTCCTCAGTATATCTAGGTTGTCAGTCCGAGCAATTGGGTTTTGCACCTTAGACGCCAAAGTTCTAGTGAAGAATAAGAACGTCGTCTTGATTTTAAACAACGGATAACTTCAGGGCGATATACACGTACTTAATTTTGACCTCCATCTCAATGTATACATTCTTTTTTGCCTTCCTCATCATCTGGTTAGATATCATGCGAGAGATGGAGGTCACGTCAGCAGCTAGGCTTCCGACATCGTTCGGGCGGTTGCTCATTAATAAAACAAGCCCCGGGCTAGCAGGAGAAACTACCTCTGTTAGTGTACCTGCTGCCCATGTTCCTGAAAACAGTACAGGTATGCTGATTGCGATACATGCTGCATATATTTAAAAAGGCTCATGGTTAAACTGTAGCATAGTTCATTTTGGTGTCAGCATACTAGTAGCCAGTTCTATTCTCTTTAGTGTAGTTTTGACGACATACACGATGATAACGCTATAGGCTTCCTTCAAGACGTACATTCAAGCATATCTTTTTCTTTTGCGATGCTGTTAAATTGCATAGTTATTGTGCATGGGATTTGCTTCATTCTGAGATTGCTTGAGTATTTTATTTCACCAACGGCCTGTTTTGCAACCCGTACCGGCAGATAAAAGTGAAGACACTTCTGTAGCTGTCAGTGGGTTAGATTCGGTTACTATTATACCTGCCCAGCCATCGACAGAGCGTTTGAACAAAACAATAGTGGATGCCAAAGAGGCAGAAGAGTCGGTGGGGATCGTCAAGAACAAGTCTGTAGAACTTGAGAAGGTCGATACACCTGCATCCATACCAGCGAATGAGAGTACGACCGAACCAGGCGCTGCTCGGACGCCACAACAAAGTACGAGAACCAAAGCACACGATGCTCAAATTGAGATTCCTGGTAGTGACAATCACTCTATGGGTAGAATAGGCGACTTAGAGCATCGTAAGGACGAATTGTCATACAATGCTATCGTCGCCTCTAAACCCTCAGGTGAAAAGGTCCACGGTAGAATTCCTGATAAGAGCTCAAACATAGGGAATTTGCAAGAAGATGTGTGGGATGCTGATGATAGACGTGTGTTAGATGAAGACGAGATTGTTGGTACGTTGAGCGAATCGAGTCCAACACGCCCGTCCGATACAACAGCTGCTACGGTTACAGATGAGAATGCTGGTCAACGTGATGTTTCCGATCGAGAGCCGCTCAAACCGGGTCTTCAAATTGGAGAAACGAATGCTAAAGATGCTGAAAAAGATGTGCCGGATGCCCTTGAACCCATGGCTTTGGATACCAACTTGAAAAGTTGTCCTGGGGTGAATGTAGAACGATCCTTTGCCGCCATTGAAGCACTGAGCGTAGCATCAGAGGATATGGGGTCACAATTATATACAGATAAGGGTCTGGACAGGGCGATGAATGTTGACGATAGTACGATCAGCGAAAGCGCGAGCAAGGTCACATCGAGTGCAGAAAACGTGCGGCAAGGTGAATCGGCCAGGAAAACCGGAGCTATGAGTGACAATGACACAGTACGTAGCGAGACCCACCGGAACGGATTCAGGAAAGAACGAATGAGGAGGACAAGTGGTACTGTCAGTGATGGAGAAACTGAACGTGATCGCCGTATCAGGGAGGGCGACAGTGGCAAGATGGAAGATCACGGTCGTGAGAGTGACCCAATTGTCAGGAGTGAGATTGTCAGGCGATCGGATCTGGGCACACGCAGAGGTGGCAGTGAGCTGAGAGATGACAGTTCGCGCAAAACCGATTTCGGTCGGAGAGACTCCTCCGCATATAGGCGAAGTGAAAGTGGTCGGAAGAGTCTTAGCCTGAAGAGGCACGAAAAGGAGCGACGCACGGATTCCCGACATAGAGTAGACCTCGGTCGCAGAAGTGATGCGGATCGCCGTAGTGAGCTGGACCGTTGCACTTCGTCGCGCACGGATTTGGGTCGCAGATCTGATTCTCAGACCGATCGAAGGATTGAGCCTAGGCGTAGGAGTGAGACCGAACGCACGCGGGACACCGAAAGGATCCGAGATGCCGAGCGGACCCGCGAAAGTGACCGCGCTAGAGATACTGATAGAACACGAGAGTCTGACCGAACTCGAGAAGCAGAGCGTATGCGTGCTGGAGATCGTGATCGCACTCGTGATGGTGACAGGAAACGTGATACTGATCGTATCCGTGAAACAGATAGGAGTCGTGAGGTTGAGAGGACCGACCGAACTCGTGATGCTGATAAACCTGATCGTGATGCTGATAGGAACAGAGCGAGCAGTCGATCACGAGATGCTGAAAGGAGTCGTGACAATGACAAGGGTAGAGAATTGGAAAAAATGCGCGATGCGAACAGAACTCGGGATACTGAACGGACGCGTGCGACTGATAAAACCCGTGAAACTGACAGAATACGTGAGTCTGATAGAACTCGCGAAACAGAAAGGGCACGCGAGGCTGATAAAGTACGCGAAGCCGCGAAATCACGCGAGGCTGAGAGGGCGCGCGATGGGGTGAGATCTCGGGAAGCTGAGCGTGCCCGGGAAGTCCAAAGATCGGGCGATAAAGATCGATTGCGGGACAGTGATCATGGTCGTGAAGGTGATAGAGGCCAAGGTCGAAACCGTGATAGTGAAAGTGAACGTAATCGTGGGGGAGACCGTACCCGCGACGGCGATAGGAGTAGGGATCGTAGCCGTGAAACAGATCGCAGTCGAGATGCAACTCGAGCTTCGGAGGGGGATCGTACTCGCGAGAATGACAGAAGTCGCTTAATAGACCGTCCTCGCGAAGGTGATCGGAGAAAGTGCGAAAGTGCGAGAAAAAGCGAATTTGAGAGAGCCCGTGAAGTTGACCGCTCAAGGGATGATACGAAAAAGGCGGAGGCTGAGCAGACTCGAGATTCGGCGAGAAGCCGGGATGGGTACAATAGGAAGGCTTACGATGGTGATCGTAGCAGGGAAGCCGACCGCACTCGTGCAGGAGATCGACGGCGTGAGAGTGCCCGCAGTATCGTTGGTGACGCTAAGCGCGATACTGAGCGCAGTCGCGAGTCGTCGCGAAGAGTGGATTCTGATAAACCCCATGAGAGTGAGAAAATAACGGACGCGTCCAAGATGAGCGAGGCCGGCAATGATTCGGAAGACACGAGAACGAAAGAGTCTTTAAATGAAACTGTGACAAAGAGACTAGAGGGCAGCTCAGACAGGGGTTCGAATGATGGAAGAAAAGACAGTCCCGAAGCGACGCGGAGTGTGACAGGTGACTTCGAGACTCCTGGAGAAAAGCCGGGACGAAAGCTAGCAAATGAACCGACAGGCGTAGATTCAGAACCTGTCGATAATAAGAAGACAGGCCACAAAGTATCGGACAGTAGTGATTCTGATGATTCGAATGCTAGCGAGAAATATGATCCACAGGCACTGATAACTGCAAAGGGTGTAGTCACGAATGCCAAAAACGACGACATGGCAACCCTCAAATCGAAGATCAGTGTCGAGGCCAGTGCCAGATCTAGTTCCAGTAAATCCCCAGAAACTGTCGATGCAACCGACGAAAAGGATCAGGGCAAGATTGGCATCTCGCTTGAAGCAGAGACCGGTGGTCAACACATAAGGGTCGAAGGAGACAACGATACGGAAATCTCGGAGACCGCGGCGGGAGCAGAAAACAAAGTGGGTATCGCGATGGGTGACGATGGCGATAGTAAAATTATTTCAGGGGGCTATAAAAAGATGAGCAAGGACTCTAAAACGCTTGACTCAATGTCCATAGACAGTAATCTCGCAGTAAAAACTACTCCTGCACTTGAGGATGCCATTGGGCCAAGCGCAAGCGATGACAAGGCTGTGACTGATGTAGAAAATAAGCCGGAGAGCGACCTAGAGAAATCGGAAAGCGACAAGGAAACGCCGCAGAAGAAAAAAAAGAAGACGAAGAGCAGAAAAGTGAAGTCAGAGACTACAAAGGAAGTTTCAGATAGTGTGGAGGAGGAAGTGGAAAGTAAGGAAGAGGTAGTGGGCAACGGAAAGAATCAAGGAAATGATAGGAAAAATGCAGCCGAACAGGATAACAAGGCGGGGAAGCGCAAGCAGTCCGATGTTAGGGATGAATCATCATCGCCTATTTCATCATCGTTGGCTGAGGAGAAGACTGATGAGCCTGTCGCGGGCAGTGTTATTGGGTTGAAGAATTTACCCGAAGCAACCGACCATAAAATTGAGAATGACGATCCAAAACTGGCAAATGAAAATAAGCCAGCAGTGGATTTGAAAGAGAGGACGCGATCAGGAAGTACTAAGCTTTTGACCGGAAGTGCGGTAGACAGCCCGCTCGCGATGACGGCATCCGGGAAACGATCGGCCTCGCGTCAACTGGAGCCAAACCCCGAACGAAACACATCCGCAAGATCCACCAAGGATTCTTCATATGTCGACAGGGAACCTGAGAGCCGGGAGTCTAGCGAAGGGCTGCCTTTGGGCCGAACGTCCGGTCGTAGTACAGCACATGGCAGTGAAGACGAGATTAACAAGGATACAAAGAAAGGTAAACGGCCAGGCAGAGGGAAGAGAAAACTCGTCGATGAAGATAAGGGCGAGAGTGATGCGAGCGAAGAAGATGCAAAGCCAGCTGCAACAGCGACCGCTCCCGTTACCAGAGGGAGAGGCAGGGGTAGGGGCAGACCGCGAGGTAGCACACGTGCGCTTGCGCCTGCGGCCAGAACTATAGCGCGTACCGCTCCCGCCGTGGAGACAGATCCGGACAGCGATAGTATGACAAGCACGAGAGGGGTAAGGGGTAGCTAATTGAAACAATTCGAGTGTGACATTCATGTGCCCCACATTAATTAGTGCACTGCATTTACTTCCACGCTTTTCGATTATATGCTATTAATATACTGCTTATTCTAGATCTATCGACTTGTTAACTTCAACAGCGAGGCGGCACTGTGAAGCGAGGAGAGAAGCGTGCGAAAACCAATCTAGGTAGCAAGAAGGCCAAGGCCAGCTCACCGAAACATATTGGAAAGTCGACCACTTCTGCGAAGCATCAAAGATCTAATCCGCAATCGCCAGCAGTCAAGGCAGAGCCACAATCCGGTGACGAAGATGAGTCTGACTCTGGTACTGTTCTGAAATATAGCATTGCAGTTTAAACTTTGCCATGTAGTTGAGTGACCATGATATTGCAGCTATACATTATGCAGTGAAATGTTCAAAATGCATTATGTGTCCAATCGGTCTCTAGAGTATGAAATTCAGTGTAACCTTGCGTGTCTCGCATTTGCATGTTCAATTGTTATCGCATTTTTGAAATTACGCCATACACAGGGATAGCAGCCAAGCGTCAGAAAACAAGGAGGAGGCTGCTAATGGGAGTTTTGAGAGACATAATGAATCATAAATACGCAAATACCTTCCTCAAGCCTGTGAATCCAAGAGAGGCGTTCAATTACACGAAGATTGTCAAGAGACCAATGGACCTGAATACGATCAAAAAGCGTTTAGATGATGGGGTATGCAACGTCGTGCCGTGCAGAGCGCTTGTATACTGCCTAATGTTCAACAGACATATATTTTCTTATTTTACTGGCAGATCCTATATTGTACAAGCACGTTGTTTTATGGATTACTTCTATGCTTATATCATATTCACTATCTTTTGCAGACTATCTCAACAACAGTGGAATTCCGCCGCGACCTAATGCTAGTATTTACCAATGCCATGATGTATAACGAGTCCGGGCATGACGTGTATATAATGGCTCATGATGTAAGTTGAGACTTGCGTTGCGTGCTTCTGCTCAGTGGAATTATATTCTATTTATTTTTCTGCACTATTGTATCTCTTTCCGCATACCTCCACACAAATTGATCAATGCTATATTACGGCCCACATGTAAACATGCCATACTATTTGATATCAAAATGAGACAATCACACCCATATTTTCCGTGCCCACCTCTGATAACGCATTTATTGTTTGTGTCCCAGATGAAGGTAGATGTTACAGAGCAACTGCAAATGTTCATGACCACCGCGCACCTTGCTGAAGACGGAAGGCAATCTACACTGAAAGACAAGAGCGAGGAGGTATTTATGACTTCTATATATCACTCTAAATGCCAGTGAACCTCAGGAGCGTCTGCATTGCTAGCGCTTCTGGTCTCGTTTCGATGAAGGCATGTCTGAACAGGCATTCATGCATCTTGTAGTCACTGGCGCATTAACAATCTTATTTTTTCGATGATTTTAACAGGAAGATAGTGACGAGGACAGACCGATACTCACGAGCCGCCGCTCTACGAGGCCTGGTAACCTCTAGAGGCATTAGCCTTGTCATCCGTTTCCTTTATTTATCGTGGCGAAGTGAAATTGAAATAAATAGCTATCAAATACTCAAATTTGCTTTATGTTGAGAGTTGAATACTAGCGCTGTATCTGACTAATAAACCCTCGGAAAGAAGAGCGTGTCCATGTACACACTTGCGTCCCATTTCAAATCGTCCACACTTTGTGAGTCTACGTGGAGATCGTGTATCGGCATGCCATTCCATGCAGCTGCTCGCATGAGTCACACAATGCGCAAAACAAACTACTCCGATTTTTTTGTCGCTAGTGCCTTCTTTTCGGGTCTACATCAAACTGTCCTAGTATTAATTGTCTGCAAGTATTGGTTTACATTTTTATGAATTCACGTCTAGGATGTCTGTGCACCACATTGCCTCTATTTTTCTGTCCAACCACTATTGCCCAACGATACTTGTAACATATGGTGCGGATGATCTCGGGGAATGAGTGTGCATTCATTAATTTGTCCCATTTTCAGCGCTCTTGCTGCGATCGGGCCGTAGATGATAGTCGAATGAGTCCACTACACGAGTATGTGAGCTTATCTATACTCGGCACTACATGACATCGACTAGTTTATTTTGGCTCAGTCTGTAGTCATGCTTTCTAAGGAGAATATTATGTATTTACTAGTCACCCTTGATGCAACTCGTTCGCGGCAGTGAGAATAGATTTGTGTGTTCGATGCTCCCCCTTTAGTGGACACCTTTTTACCATAACTGAGATTGATTCGCGACCAGATATCGTTTGAATCTATCGAATCAGTTTCCTAGAAAACAGATCTACCTATCCGAGATCCATGCGCGTAATTCGTTTCTATGGACAGACGATTGATAGACAATATAGACGCATGTGCTCCAATATATGTGATCGTCGCAGTTGTATAGGGGTTTGAGATAGGTTTGATTATGGACAGGGCTTAATTTAAATTTTCGCTTATATAGTTATAAATACCCCATTAAAAAATATCGATGAACAGTTGAATCTAGAATCTACTCGTTTATCGGTATCAATATTGGTGAAGTTGTAGCAAAGATTGTGTATTGAGATAGCTTTTTATCGGGTGATTACGGTACTGGGATAGTTTCATATCTGGTAACTCGTAAACTGAGATAGTTTCATATCTGGTATTCCGTGAACTGAGATAGTTTCATATCTGGTATTTCGTGAACTGAGATAGTTTCATACCTGGTAATTCGTGAACTGAGATAGTTTCATATCTGATAGTTCGTGTGCTGAGATGTGAGGGTTTCATATCTGGTAATAGATAGTTTTGTTTCTGGTATTCTGTGAACTGAGATAGTTTTATATCTGGTCACTCGTGTTCTAAGACAGTTTCTTATTTGGTGGTTTGTGGACTGATATAGTTTTATGTCTGCTAATTCGTGTACTGAGATAGTTTCATATACGAAAATCCTTAAACTGAGATAATTTCATATCATATCTGATAATTCTTATGGTGAGATAGGTTCATATCTGATAACTCGTGGACTGAGATAGTTTTATATCTAGTAATAGATGGTTTCGTATCTGGTAATTTGTGACCTGAGATAGTTTCATTTCTGATAATTCTTGTGCTGAGATGGTTTCATAACTGGCAACAGTTATTTTCATATCTGGTATTACGTGAACTGCGATGGTTTCATATTTGATAATTCGTGTACTGAGATAGCTTTATATCTGGTAATTAGATAGTTTTGTATCTGGTAATTCGCGATCTGAGATAGTTTCATATCTGATAATTCTTTTGCTGAGATGGTTTCATATGTGGTAATAGATAGTTTCATGTGTGGTAATAGATGGTTTCATATGTGGTAGTAGATTTTTTCATATGTGGCAAAAGATAGTTTCATATCTGGTAACAGATAGTTCTATATCTGGTAATTCGCGAACTGAGATAGTTATATAGCTGATAGTTCGTGTGCTGAGATGGCTTCATATATGGTAGTAGATAGCTGCGTATCTGGTGATTCGTGACCTGAGGTAGTTTATATCTAGTAATTCGTGTACCGAGATAGTTTCATAACTAATTATTCGTATAATAGGATAGTTTCATAACTGGTTTTGGCCCCAATGTACTTACTCGAGTGAAATGAAATTGAGTTATTGTGATCAGCCAAGAAAGTGGTTTGAGTCCACGAATTATGCAACATCATCTGAGCGTTCTTTCTCGGGTACACACGCATATCCTTCTCCCTCGGCCATTCGAACGAGGTCAATTTTGACAACTATTTCCATTACAAATTTGCACAATGAGCCAAAGATATAAGCAATGAAGGCAATAGCGATCCGTGCGAGCTGTGACGTACATGAGTCGGAAAAGCAAACTAAGCAGGGCTTCTCGATTTTGCAATACGGATTGTATTTGGTTCTCGAAATGCCGATTAAGTTAATCATTATTTTCTTTTGACTTTCCCAATAACCCTATGTGAGGATGTGTATAATGTATACATCATTATTTGAAACTATGATATCGCTATATGAAGACATTTTCTTAGTGATTATCGATAAGAGTTTCGGTATTCGTGTAATGTTGCCCATCTTTAATGCTCGATATGTAAAGTGAGCATTTCACAACGACAACGACCTTCTATCCCAAGATGGCCTGCTGTTACTACCCTCGATCTTTCTACTCTTCTGGTAATATATGTCACGTTATTATGTACATGTATTCTCATGTGATGTGTACCGTTGTTTAAAATACTGAGGTATGAATTCTATATAAATATTTATATGAACTTTTTATATATTTTTCTGATCAGGCTATATCAGCAGCACAATCTAGCACAATATTTGATTGGTATTCCAGCCAACAACCGTCGTTGTTTTTTTCAATGTATGCTGGAAAACCTCTCGACGTCTATACGATACTCCTGTTTGTGTTTTTCTGTAGACGTAGGTAATAGCCCTAGGTAGGATCGTCTGGTCCTGCACTGTCACCTTATCCACAACTACTAATTATGGAAGATGAGTATCTATTCTCAGCGTGCCGAGATGGCTGCTATAGAACAGTGGAACGGTTGTTAAATATACCGTCGGTGAATGTAGGAGCTCGCGACCAGATCAGTCGAACACCTTTGCACGTAGCCGCTCGGGAAGGCCGCGAAGATTGTGTTAGACTGTTGATAAAACATGGAGCGGAAGTAGATGCCTTCGACTGGGTATTAATATGTCGTTGATTACTTCTCCTCCGTCTCAAACTGATATGATAGAAGTTTCAGCTGTTGACACGTGCAACATGCTGAATACGAACAAGAACATGCACAGATCCTCATCTGAACCAATACGATTTGGTTAAACATATAAG